AGTGGGTTATATAGAGCACACACTGGGGGACAGTGGGTTATACAGAGCACACACTGGGAGACAGCGGGTTATACAAAGTACATATTGTGGGACAGCAGGTTATATAGTGTACACATTGGGGGGCAGTGGGTTATATAGAGTAAACACTGGGGGACAAAAGGTTATGTAGAGGACATACTGGGGGACTGTGGGTTATATAGAGTACACACAAGAGGGAACAGTGGATTATATAGAGTACACACTAAGGGGCAAGTGAGTTATATAGAGCACACACTGTGGGACAGCAGGTTATATAGAGTACACACTGGGGGGCAGTGGGTTATATAGAGTACACATTGGGGGGGCAGTGGGTTATATAGAGCACACACTTGAGGCAGTGGGTTATTATAGAGTACATACTGGGGGGCAGAGGGTTATATAGAGTACATGTGTAATGCTGGTTATATAACAATGCACACTGCAGATCAGTGGGTTGTATACAGCGACACCCTGGGGAACAGTGAGATGTATACAGGGACACACTGGGGGACAGTGGGCTGTATACAGCAACACCCTGGGGAACAGTGATATATATATACAGGGACACACTGGGGAACAGTGAGATATATACGGGGACACACTGGGGAACAGTGAGATATATACAGGGACACACTGGGGAACGGTGAGATATATACGGGGACACATAGGGGAACAGTGAGATATATACGGGGGCACACTGGGGAATAGTGGGCTGTATACAGGGACACCATGGGGAACAGTGGGCTGTATACAGGGACATACTGGGGAACAGTGAGATATATACGGGGACACCCTGGGGAACAGTGAGATATATACGGGGACACCATGGGGAACAGTGAGATGTATACAGGGACACCCTGGGGAACAGTGGGCTGCATACAGGGACACCCTGGGGAACAGTGAGATGTATACGGGGCCACACTGGGGAACAGTGGGTTGTATACAGCGACACCCTGGGGACCTTAAGGAAAATCCCAAAGCCTTTTATTCGTACATAAGTAGCAAGAGGGCAACTAGAGAAGGACAAAGGAGGGAAGTTATGCGAGGAGGCAGAGAAAATGAGTGCGATTCTTAATGAGTACTTTGCGTTGGTATTCACCAAGGAGAGAGATATGACAGATGTTGAGGTTAGGGATAGATGTTTGATTACTCTAGGTCAAGTTGGCATAAGGAGGGGGGAAGTGTTGTGTATTCTAAAACGCATTAGGGTGGACAAGTCCCCAGGTCCGATGGGATCTATCCCAGGTTACTGAGGGAAGCGAGAGAGGAAATAGCTGGGGCCTTAACAGATATCTTTGCAGCATCCTTGAGCACGGGTGAGGTCCCAGAGGACTGGAGAATTGCTAATGTTGTCCCCTTGTTTAAGGAGGGTAGCAAGGATAATCCAGGTAATTATAGACCGGTGAGCCTGACGTCAGTGGTGGGGAAGCTGCTGGAGAAGATACTGAGGGATAGGATCGATTTACATTTGAAAGAAAATGGGCTTATTAGTGATAGGCAGCATGGTTTTGTGCAGGGAAGGTCATGTCTTACCAACTTGATAGAATTCTTTGAGGAAGTGACAAAGTTGATAGATGAGAGAAGGGCTGTAGGTGTCATATACATGGACTTCAATAAGGTGTTTGATAAGGTTCCCCATGGTAGGCTGATGGAGAAAGTGAAGTCGCATGGGGTCCAGGGTGTACTAGCTAGATGGATAGAGAACTGGCTGGGCAACAGGAGACAGAGAGTTGTGGTGGAAGGGAGTTTCTCAAAATGGAGAACTGTGACCAGTGGTGTTCCACAGGGATCCGTGTTGGGACCACTGTTGTTTGTGATATACATAAATGATCTGGAGGAAGGTATAGATGGTCTGATTAGCAAGTTTGCAGATGACACTAAGATTGGTGGAGTAGCAGATAGTGAAAGGGACTGTCGGAGAATGCAGCAAAATATAGATAGATTGGAGAGTTGGGCGGAGAAATGGCAGATGGAATTCAATCCAGGCAAATACGAGGTGATGCATTTTGGAAGATCCAATTCAAGAGCGAACTATACGGTAAATGGAAAAGTCCTGGGGAAAATTGATGCACAGAGAGATCTGGGTGTTCAGGTCCATTGTACCCTGATGGTGGCAACGCAGGTGGATAGAGTGGTCAAGAAGGCATACGGCATGCTTTCATTCATCGGACGGGGTATTGAGTACAAGAGTTGGCAGGTCATGTTACAGTTGTATAGGACTTTGGTTCAACCATATTTGGAATACTGCGTACAGTTCTGGTCGCCACATTACCAAAAGGATGTGGATGCTTTGGAGAGGGTGCAGAGGAGGTTCACCAGGATGTTGCCTGGTATGGAGGGCACTAGCTATGAAGAAAGGTTGAGTAGATTAGGATTATTTACATTAGAAAGATGGAGGTTGAGGGGGGACCTGACTGAGGTCTACAAAATCATGACAGGTATAGACAGGGTGGATAGCAAGAAACTTTTTCCCAGAGTGCGGGACTCAATTACTAGGGCTCACGATTTCAAGGTGAGAGGGGAAAAGTTTAAGGGAGATATGTTTGGAAAGTTCTTTACGCAGAGGGTTGTGGGTGCCTGGAACGTGTTGCCAGCAGAGGTGGTAGAGGTGGGCACGATAGCATCATTTAAGATGTATCTAGACAGATACATGAATGGGCAGGGAGCAGAGGGATACAGATCCTTGGAAAATAGGTGACAGGTTTAGATAGAGGATCTGGATCAGTGCAGGCTTGGAGGGCCGAAGGGCCTGTTTTCTGTGCTGTAATTTTCTTTGTTCTTTGTTCTTGTTCTTTGACACACTGGGGAACAGTGGGCTGTATACAGGGACACACTGGGGAACAGTGGACTGTATACAGGGACATACTGGTGAACAATGAGATATATACAGGGACACACTGGGGAACAATAGGATACATACAGGAATACATGAGGAACAGTGGGCTGTATACAGGGACACATGGGGAAAAATGCGTTGTATACAGGGGCACAAGGGGGAACAATGGGTTGTATACAGGGACACGATGGGGAACAGTGAGTTGTATACAGGGACACGATGGGGAACAATGGGTTGTATACAGGGCACAATGGGGAACAATGGGTTGTATACAGGGACACGATGGGGAACAATGGGTTTTATGCAGGGACACAATGAGAAAAAATGTGTTGTGTACCAGTTGTGTGTAGGGACACAATGGGGAACAATGGGTTTTATACAGGGACACGATGGGGAACAATGGGTTGTATACAGGGACACAACGGGGAACATTGGGTTGTATATAGGGACACGATGGGGAACAATGGGTTGTATACAGGGACACAATAGGGAACAATGGGTTGTGTACAGTACAGGGACGCAATGGGAAACAGTGGCTTGTATACAGGTTGTGTGTAGGGACACAATGGGGAACAATGGGTTGTGTACAGGTTATGTACAGGGACACGTGGGGAACAGTGGGTTAATAGACTGTATACATGTAGACACTGTGTAATAATGGGCTATTTAGAGGTATGCATTGAGGAACAGTGAGTTATATAAATGTTTACATTGGGAACAGTATGAGGTCTAGATACACTTACTGGGGAACCATGGGCTCTATGGAGGTACACAACAGGGAATGCTGGGCTGTATAGAGGTACGCACTGAGGAACAATGGGTTACATGGATGCAACAGAGATAGACAGAGTGAGGGAAAGAAAGAATTACACTGACAGGTTACAAAGAGGAAGATGTGAAAGATATTAACTGTTTCATGTACTCTGTAATGACATCCTGATTGCCCACATGGCAAAACATGGCAGCAGCAGAGTGTCAGATAGATGATTTATATTTCCTCGACACGAGAGCTCAGCGCAATCAGGCTGGGCAAACCAAATCCAGAAAAGCTTTGTTAAATGTTCAAAGGCCCCTCGTTATATTGCTTCACCAGTACCATGGTAGTCTTTCCGTTGAAATGTCCCTATTTCCAGATATATACTTGAGACCAGTGGAAGAGGATTCTGAAACTGATAATAAGATGGAGAGTCTTGGCCAATCTGTACGATGTATACTAGGGGGCTGTTGAGAAGGAACAGCCATTCTTCCATCCCCACCCATCAGATTAGTTAACCCCAACAGCAGTGATTACAAACCACTTGCCTCACTATGAGGGCATTGTTATAAGTGGACATCACTAATGATTGTTCGGTATTGACGTTATATGGGAACAAAATTGTTTTGGCTGTGATGATTGTAATGTTCAAACAGTGGTACACGCATGGTGAATGAGGGAGATTCCAGAGATTTGCTAAAAGCCAAAAATTCTGAGCTGCAGCAGGAGACGGATTGTGGATAATCCCCTCCTTTATCTTCTGAAGGGTGTATAAGAATGGGAAACAAAGAGTGGCCTTGCCAATAATGGACACATTCCTTAAAAAAAAGAAGAAATCTAGTATGGCAACTATCTGTTCCAAGCATTAATGTCTTGGCACAAAGCTATGATGCTCATTTGGAGAACTAGTGCAGACAGGATAGGCTGAATGGCCTCCTCCTGACCCATGATTCTTCAATGACTGTATCTTATTAATGATTGGAGTGCCCAGTCAGTTTCATTTCCCCCTGTAAGTCTGCCTAAGCTATTGTAACTATTATCACAACAAAAATATTTCTGAGACGCGAAAGCTGTCACTGCATAAACCTCTACCATTTCTACCCATTCCGGCAGGAAAGCTATGTAACTTATGAAGACCATGTGCGATTAGTGGGTGAGATTATCAGTGTGCTTGGAGCAGTCAGCATCGTTCTGTTGGAGGTAAGGAACAGCCACGGCCTTTCTCACTCAAAGGGGATACGCAAGTTGTTCATCACTTAGTCACAACAATGGTGTGACTAATGGCACTTATTGCAAATGATGTGTTAATGGTACAGCAACTTCAGATGAACGGCAGAAATGTATTTAAAATCAAACATCTAAAACCTGCTGTCTGATTTAGAGTCATACAATACAGAAACAGACCCTTTGGTCCAACTCGTCCAAGGTTTTCCACACTTATTTCTACTTTAATGATCTATGTTATCATTTATGATGACTTGTGATATTTGTATAATTCGGCTTCTGTCACTATGATGAATTTTCAAAGAAACAATTATCAAGCTATCTTTTCTGCTGTGTTCCTTGATAGTTAATAATCTCAGAAAAATACCATCTCACCCTGTGCCTTGTTGTTGAAATGCATCAAGTGAAGTCTCTGTATTTATACAGTTGATGTAAACTAAACACACCAGGAAAAGATAAAGCTTCACCAAGTACCCTTTTAATCAAGTGACACGAGGCTTTTGCAGGATAGTTACCCTACCTCTGAGTTTGAATCCTGAGTTCAAGTCCCACCTGCTCCAGATGTTACAACGCATCTGGATAGAATCCCTAAGGTACAAAAAAGGCCATTCAGATCACCAAGTCTGTACCATCCCACCCAGACCCAATGCATTTCCCAGGGCTAACCTACCCAGCCTGCATATCTGTGGATGCTACAGGAGAATTTATCGTGGCTAATCCACCTAACCTCTACACCTTTGGACTATGGGAGGAAACTGCAGCACCCATTGGGAACCCACGCAGACACAGAGAGAACGTGCAAACTCCACACAGAAAGTCATCCGAGGGTGGAATCGAACCTGGGTCCCTGCTGTGAGGCAGTAGTGCTAACCTTTGAGCCACTGTGCCACCCCAAGGATAACTAAATAACATCTCCAAAGTAATCACTACTCATCAACCTCTCTGGCACTGAGAACTAACTGGTACAAACATGGAGTCAGAGAGAGAGTCATACAGCACAGGAACGGACCCTTCAGTCCAACCTATCCACGCCGACCAGGCATGCCAATCTGATTTCCTTCAGGTTTTAATTAATGGAGATTTTAAAAATGCCATTTCATTTCTGTTTCTTTTACCTGCCTTAAAGCAATTTGTGTTTCCCTCCTAAAGACACATCCTGGAATTAAAACTAGAAAATTCTGCAAATATTCAGCTTGTCTGACAGCGTCTCTGAATGAGACAGCAGAGTTTACGTTTCAAGCTAATGATGTTTGAACAGAACTCTTTCCTTCTCTTTATTTCACCCTCTCTGCCTGATTTCACATGCACCTGCTCTAAGTTACACTTCCTCCTCAGTCCTGGTGCTGTTATAATTCTTGATTAAGTAGATGCACAATAAACTGCCCTTTACCAGCTGCTGGTTTCCCTGACTGTTTTTCAGCTTGCACATTCAGCGACTTGTCACACAAACAATTTTAAGAGCAGTCTGTGCACGGGAAGTCTAACTAACAGCAGGTGATGTTCAATACTCTTTTTGCAGCTAAACCATGACTCCTATGTCAGCTATTGTAAATAACTAACGCATTTTGTCAGTATGATATAAAATATCCAGCAGGGTCATGAGGCATTTTTGAATGCGGCGCAGGCTGGCAATACTCATATGGTGAAACAAGGTTAGATCGAATGGAATACAAGGAGAGCTAGCCATTTGGATATAAAATTGGCTTGAAGGTAGGAGATAGAGGGTGTTTTTTGGACTGGAGGCCTGTGACCAGCAGTGTGCCACAAGGATCGGTGTTAGGTCCACTGCTTTTCATCATTTATATAAATGATTTGGATGTGAATACAGGAGGAATATTTAGTAGGTTTACAGAAGACACAAAAATTGGTGGTGTAGTAGACAGTGAAGAGGGTTACTCAGAGATAGCAAGAACTGCAGATGCTGGAGTCAGGGTCAATGCAGTGTGGAGCTGGAGGAACACAGCAGGTCAGGCAGCATCAG